GCTTGAAAACCGATTCATTGTTCCCATGAGCGAACCGAGTAGAAGAGAGTGGAACCGAATAATGGGTGCCCAAGGGCCCCACAGCACGGCGCCCCGCCCCGTCCCGCCCCGCCGCCACTTGGCCCGCCGGCAACCGGCTACCGAAAATTTAAAAAATTGTGTAATTTTAAGTTAACTTTTTACTAGAGGCGTAAGTTTCCAGGTGAATGTTACTTAAATGTGATTGTCATTCTCCGGAGTGATTCGAGTAGGTTGCCTGCCTTCCAGTGCTTTTAGCGGGGCAATTAGAGACCTCCCACAGGAGAATTCTTTTGAGGATATTTTTTCGGTGGGGATTCATAAAATCATAAGGAATCACGTCAAGATTCAAATTTTATTGAAGAACAGGGTGACAAGGTGGATATATAAATATTAGCAGTCATTAATTTATTACAATTATTACAAGAAGGAGAAAAACAAATGAAACCATTGATCAATAGAGGGAGGGAATGCCCCACCCAACACAGATTATGCTCTACTTTCCATCTCGTCGACCTCAGAGTTGCTCCTTTTTCCTTGGAACCGCGCCGGTTGATTGCGGTACGCAATCCCTGATGCGCCTGGGTAGCCGATGGGATATCCTGCTCCAAGGCCCGTCGAGCCGTACCCCACCTCGGTGCTGCCGAAGCCGCCGCCGTACCCTCCGTATCCACCCCCGTAGCCCCCGTACCCTCCGTATCCGCCAGCGCCAGAGTATCCAAATCCACCGGGGAAGCCGTTTCCGTAACCAGTTCCGTATCCGGTTCCGTACCCGTTTCCGTAACCAGTTCCGTATCCGTTTCCGTACCCTCCGTAGCAGTTGTAGCCGTTACAGCCGTAGGGATTCCTGTTGTAGGTCGGGTAGGTAGGTCGCCAGCTGTTGTAACCGCCATAGCCTCCGTAGCCTCCGTAGCCAAGACCGAATACTGTTCATAAAAAATTCTACATTAATGAACAATAACACATCCATAGACCATAAAGTCACAGTCAACGTGCATAAAGCGAGGAGAGGTGAGGGGTGGAGTATGCTACTTACTCCTCTCACTGGCGGCGGTCTTCAGTGATCCTTTACTTTGATCCTCCTTTGCGGCGCACAGCCCAAACAGGGCCAAAACTACCACAACAGCCTGGAGGTAGAAAAACTTGACGTTAGTGCCACACAATAACAGACGGTTGGCGTCCGCCTCTTCTCCCGAAGTCGCCTGCAGCACCTGCACTTTTGCGGGGTAGGCAACCGGCTGAGCTTTAGAGCTTAGCGGGAGGGCATTATGCCGCGGGTCGCAGGGGCGCCCAACGGCAGCTTAGTACGCACAGTCGAAAACACAACCACTGCGTTCCATCTCGGAACGGATAAATGTCATCCAAGTGCATACATTTTCAAAAATAACACCCCTACTAGCGTGTGTAACACTCACAAAAGCGACTCGTTCGGGACACATGGCTGGTCGGTCTGGGATCTCTGGTTACTCGCACGAAAGGATGTCGCCTCCACAACTGTCTCCAGCCGCAGAGGACGAGACAGTTTTATACGGAGTACCCGGCCGGGCGCGACGCACCTCCTGGGCGGTGGGCGGGCGGCGCGGTGGAGCAGGAGGGGG